CTGAGTGAAAGCTCCAACCACACATCCATGGTTGCAGATGGCATTGGGGAGGGAGGGGGCATGTCTTGCCCAAATGTATTATTATAGCTGGTAAATGATAAATTTAATATAATTTCTTACATTGTTAAAACGCTTTACAGTACAGTATTTTATTGTTTATCTTTTAACTTTTCACTATTATGTTATTTCTATACATTTTTCTAAGCTCCACATTTATGTGACCATAAATTTTTTCTATAATCTTTTTGCTGCTGTAAAAACAAGAATTTCCCCATTGTGGGACAATTAAGGGGATTTTCTATTCTATTCTAAGCCATTATATATTGTTATAATGAGTATTGCTATTATCAGGGTACAAAGTGAATCGGTAACCAAATACAGAGACTCTTTTCTATTGTTGCTCTTTAAAAAGTTTCCAGCCTGTATTCTTGCATTTTCACCACTATATTTGTTCACTGCGTTCTGCGCAGCTGGATGATGAAACATAGAAAGGTCAGCGCGCTTCAAGCGCTGATTCAAAGGATAAATTAAATTCAGCAATGGTAATAAATCATGCAGACATCAATACATGATGCCCTACAGTTTTAGGAAGGTGTGTTGGGGCCATTGTAGAATAAAAGCACTACATTAATTTCACATATATGAAATAAAAAAAGATCTTAAATATCTGATTTGGAAAAGTACGGGAGAGGATTAGGGCTAGTGGAAAAAAAAAAGTTAACTGAATTTTTAATTTTATTTCAGTTTAGTATGGGAAAAATGTCAGAATTGTGACTTTTTTCTCAGAATTCTGACTTTAATCTCAGAATTCTGATTTTTCTCTCAGAATTGTGACTGAATTCTGACAAAGAAAAGTCAGAATTCTGAGATTAAAGTCAGAATTCTGAGATTAAAGTCAGAATTCTGAGATTAAAGTCAGAATTCTGACTTTTTCTCCCATACTAAACTGAAATACAATTTAAAAATCAGTTAACTTTTTTTTTTTTTCCAATCGCCCTAATCTTCTTCCGTAGGAAAAGGCATAAATATTCATCAATAAAATAGATCTCCCGTTTAATTTGTTTGCTTAACTTGAAGGGGAGCACTGCATTTACATAAAAAGAAGACATAATAATCCATGAGATTAAAAACAGACTGAATTTACCAACAGCTATTTTTTCATCTGTAGTCCCCTGGCTATGATGTAAAAATTCTCTCATGCTGAAAAGTATTTATTTGCAAAAACAATCTCAGGAATTTGCATATATTTTAATGCTGTTTAATGACATTGGGAGTTTGAAAAACTGAGTTTGCTGATTTTAAATCATGAAATTCTGACAGTAAATTCCAGATTCTCTATTATTGAGCTTTTAGATTTATAAGGTCTAGATATTTAACAGAGCGTATCTACATGTGGAATCTATTTCTAGATTGTTTTATAAAATGCTGTGGACTGTTTTGAGTTATAGTTTGTTAGAGCGGAGGAATACGGTGTAGTGATGTGAGCAGGAGCGGCAGCTTTGTGATGCAGACAGTTACTGATGGTTCACATAACCTGGATGACTGAGAAAAGCCTTCATTTCAAATTAA